TTCTAGGAGCTGTCTATATCATTGAACTCGTGCAAACTGATGAAATCAATAACAGGGCCCAAGGCAGAGCCTATACTCATGCATAGGGGTGGAAGACAGAAGAAATTTCAGCAAAGGAGCATGAAGAAAGGTCAGTCAGATGAGATGAGAGCCAAGATAAAGCAAAGTCATGACAACCCAGGGAATAGTGTTGAAGAAAAGAGAATGGTCAACAGTGTCAAATATTGCAGATTCACAAAAAGGAAAGATGAAGATTGATGAAAGGCAATCAGATTTGGCAAATAAGAGGTTGTTGGTAACACCAATACTATGTGACTGTGACTCTTGGAAAATCACAATCTCTGAGGAATCCAAGTAGTAAAAGGACTCAAAATCAATGAAGTGATAAATGGCGGAGGGAGACAGATGGGCTAAGGTGTGTTTCCAATGATTACCTTTGCTCAAGAAACGGCTTAAGGGTTATCACTGAAGAAATGTGTAACAGGAAAAGGAAATAGGCCATTCAAGGGGTAAAAATAGCTGGGAAACAACACTGAAAACCGTTGCAAAGGCCCACAGTGCATTTGGGTAGGTCCTTTGTGGAAGATCTAAGGAAAGAATACAGACAAGAACCACACAGGAGAAGCATGGGTTATGCAGGGGAAATGACCACATCAATGAAATCACAGATTCGATTAATCAATAGGCATTTATTAAACTCCAGCTATATATCAGGCACTGAAATACAAAGACAAAAATGAAATAATCCCCACCCTCAAATACAAAAATATATACAAAATAAATATAAGGCAAAATGTTTTGTGGGGAGAGTGCTAGCAGATGGGGGGGTGTTCATTTAAGGCTTCATCTAAAGGAGAGGTGCTTAACCTCTTAATCTGTGAACGTGTTTTTAAGAAATTATTTGTATATTTCAATACAATTCACAATATCTTGTAATCTCATGTATTTTATTTTATGAATTTAAAAACATTCTGAGAATAAGTCCATAGGCTTAACCAAAAGGGTCAGTGATACAAAAGAGGTTAAGAATCCCTGCTTTAGAAGATGTGGATTGAGCAGAGTTTTGAAGGAAACAAGAAATTCTATGAGACAGAAATGAGATGGTAGTGTGTATGGGTGGTATCACAAAGGTGTGGAGAGAACACAGTTGTCACATGTGAAGAATAACAAAAAGATCAGTTTAACTGCCCCATAACATGTTGGAAAGAAAGTAATGCATGTAGCCCCTCCAGGCCTGGATTGTTCCCCCAGTGAAAACCCTATGGTTGGGTCCCCTGCAGAACCCTTAAACTAGATCCAAGGTACTCTGTGAGAACATACTACTAACGCTATAACTCACAAGGTCCCACCAATATGTTTACTTTAACAATAAGCCAGAATTCACAATTATCTGGACCAAAGAAAGGCATTTATTGAGGCAACAACATCAGACCAGTAACTACCAGTCTCTACCTTATCTTACATTCTAATGAGAGAAGAGAACACATAAATAAAAACTAAAAAGATTGAAGGGTGCTCCTCTGTGGTATGGTCTGGAAATAGCCTCATAGGCCTGGTTTTAGGTAAGATAAGCTGAAAGTTGAACTATCAGAAACCGGTGTCCCGGGGCAGAGCCTAAGATTTGCTGTGCAGATCTATGGATGTGGTACCTGCAGATATTATTCATAAACTTTAAAGACCTTAGTAGATGTTTTAATGAATCAGTGTGGCCAAAACAACTAATTACTTGCTTACTCAATTGTGGTGATAAGGGTTTTTGCCCTTAGCTAGGATGTAAATCAGAGGACAGATACAGAGTCTGTTACTGGGCCCATACGTGAAGTTTCTTGCATGGGTAGGACTTTTCAGAACTTTTCTCTTTTTTAAAAATACATTAAAAATTTTTTTTGTTATGAACTTAACAAACACCATCAAATGTGAACATTGCCATATATAAAGAATAAAAACACGAAACCACGAATCTCCTTTATGAATAGCTTGTTATTTTTCTTAGGCATTTAACATTTAACAAATTCACCAGATTAGTTCTAAAGTTGTCTCATTTGCAAATGTTTTCCTCTCAACCTATTTGTAGGCATAGACTTCACAAACCAAAAGTCTCTCCTGTGCAGCAGAATAAGGCAGGAGCCTATAGTGAGATTTTACTGGAGTTGGAAAATTAAAGAAGACAATAATGATCCACCTCACCTTAGACCCCATAGATCACTTTGTTGGCACCATTGTTAGATACTTAGCATACATTGTGTTCTATTCTAGTCATTTTTATTTATGTTGTCTAGACTGTTAAGCCCTAGGAACCCAGAATGGTATCTTACCTAAACTATCTAAATCTAAACCTAAATTTATCACAGTGCCCTGTGCCCTGGGCTGAGTTAGAATACATGTATGATCAAAGTGGAATACTCCAATTTGACATGTGAATGTCAATCAATAAATAAATAAGCCTAGAATGTTTGCAGTAAATTCAAAGTTATAAATCTGCCAAGACTGAACCGTAATTTCAAAAGCAATTAATACAAATGGGATGAAACCTAGATTTTGTTCTCCAATAACTATTCCACAGATATTTATTGCCATTTTGAATGTAGGGGGCTTTTGATAATCTAAAAATGCTTTAGAGTGACCATTTCCTCCACAACGGAGTTCACATTTCCAATAAGCCACTTATATCGGCCATAGACCTAGTCAGAGTCCTCAGATAAAACTGAAGTAGGCATATTTGCCCTTAGCATCTTTCCTTTCATCATTTGTCTTTTATTATGCCTATACCTATTTTGCCAGGTCATGGCTTCACATCCCTCCTCCCAGGATCCCAATGGATCCTCCCAGGACACCCTACAGCTACTGTACAACATGGTCACAGGTCCTTGACCTTTCTCTTCGCATTATTGGCTTCTCCAAACCCCTAAATCAATCTACCCTGGCCTTTGTCTTTTTACCTGAAGGAAGGAAGGAAGAAAGAGAAACATTTATTAAAGACCAGTAATACTATGTGCCAGGTATTGTATTAAACATTCTTCCAATACTATCTCATTTCATCCTCACAGCAATCCTAGTAGGTGCTATGATTATCCCCACTGGTGAGGAAACTGGGCACCAGAGGTTAAGTGACTTGCCAAGGGTCACTCAGCTATTAAGTGTCTGAACCCAGATTTGAACTTAGATCTTTCTGACTCCATGCCCAGTACTCTTATCCACTTTACCACCTAGCTGCTGTATATGTATATGTGTGTATGTATAGTTTTTTGGAGGATGGGAATGGTTACAATATTGGCCAGGAAGCTGCCCCAGGCCTCCTGGATGATTTAATACATGAATTCACTTAAAATAAAACTTTATTTAAAAAAAATTTTTTTGATGCCTTTTGGGTTTTGTTGCCTTTCTTTTCAATTTTAAAACTTATTTTTGTGGTTGTTTTTGTATTGCCTTCATTTGCTAAATATTCCCCGTCAAATGTTTTAACAATTAAAAATGAAAGAAAAAAATTATTTCAGCAAAAACAACCAATATGTTAAATGTATTTGCAATAATAAATAACCAGAGTCCTCTACTTTTCCAATTAAGGGAGGAAAGTATGGATACTCTTAAGAATATTTTTCAAGGATAACTCAAGTAGCAGGAACCACAGCAGGCCAATGAGAAAGCCTAGCGCATAGGTTCCCAAAGTGGGTGATACTGCCCCCAGGGGATGCTGGCACAATCCAGGGAGTCAATTGGAGGTGTTGAATAAAAATAAGTGGGGGAGTGGAGACATAAGAAAAGAAGAGAAGAGAATTTTGAAAAACCGTTTGTCCATGTTTCATCTGTTGTGCCACAGAGTTAAAGTCATAGTGATTACATTATTTTCCAAATAAACAAAATGTAAGTTATAACCTATAAACAGTCAAGTCTGCCAACAGGTCTTAACAAGCAAGTGTTGTCAAGAAGTCCAACATGCATGGGCAGGAACACGTGCATATAATGACTTGTTTACAGTATGATACTATATGGTTACATGATGCAATATTGCATCATCAAAATTTCAATGCAGGAAAAAACCCACAAGTTTACAATAAATTATTAAATTTAAGATGAGTAAATTTTTTTAAAAAATTATTTATTTATTATTTAAGTGACACAGATTTCCCAAAAAAACCATTAAAGCGTTAAAGAAAGTAGATTTTCAGGTGGATACTGAGTAATTTTTTTTAAAAGGGGCAGTAGGCCAAATGGGTTTGGGAACCTCTGGGCTAGGCATTGGGCTGGCTTTCCAGCAACCTTCAAATTACACCATATATAGGTAGCTACCAACTCTGTCTATGTATGGGGCCATCCCTGGGACTCATATCAAAGCTGTTGTTGTAGTTATTCAGTCATTTTTCAGTCATGTCTGACTCTTTGTAACCTCATTTGGGGTTTTCTTGGCAAAGATACTGGAGTGGTTTGCCATTTCCTTCTCCAGCTAATTTTTATAGAAGAGGAAACTGAGGCAAACAGGGTTAAGTGACTTGCCCAGGGTCACATAGGTAGTAAGTGTCTGAGGCCAACTCTGAACTCAAGATGAGTCTTCCTGATTTTAAGCCTGGCACTCTATCCACTGCGCCACCTAGCCGCCCATCAAAGCTGTTAACCTTGACTGAATTTAATCTATTCCAGCCTCTTTCCTGGGGGTGGGGGGGGGTGGGGTGGGTGGAATAGGCAGTTATAATGACATATAATAACACATAATGACCCCTCCAAACTGATATCCTCACAGACTCTAACATAAGATAAATGATCAGCATGCCTTTGTGCAGGAACTCAAAGCATGAGCATTATTTTGATGTGCCGATAAAATTTGTTCAGTCACTTCCTCCTCGGAAGTGGTTTCAGAGCCTTGGTGGGGGTGGGGAGGGTTGGAGGGGAGGTGGCTACATTGACATTCATCCCTAGAGCAAGATCATCGGTGACATAAAACAAGGTTAGAGATGTTTTTCTAAGACTAGATTCAATAAAATGAATTTTTGATTCTTTATCTTTAGGTGAAAAGAAGCTGTTGTCTTTGCCAACAAATCCTCTTCCTTAGCTGGTGCAGAGAAATGAAGAGCACAGACAGCTTGGAAATACATTTTCCCCTTTGGTATCCCAAGGCCCATTCTACTGATTTTGCTTGTGATCAGTACTTGAAAAGTTCTGTGAAAAAACTGATATGAGATGAGCAGTTTCTCCCCACTTTCCAGTGAAGGGAAAGGCCGCACCACAGTTTCCAGCTATGGAAATTTTCTCATCTGGAGAGTTACCCATCCTGTTTTGCTATAACTGAGCTGCTGGTCTGTGGCTAGCACCCAGCAGACCAGCTGGCTTCCTTCCCACAGAACTTCATCTAAAGCACACAGATGAGCAGTGTCACTGCACCTTCAGGAAGGAACTTATTTTGGGTTGTTAGGACTTCCTTGAGTGAATAGTAACTCTTCTATTCTTTCTCAGAATAAGAAATTGCAGTTACAAGACCCACAAGACCAGTGGAAGAACTTGAAGACTGATTTTGGAAACAGATTAAAGCCAGAGGACATTTTGAACAGAGATTATTTTTTTAAAAAATGAATTCAAAGAAATTTAGTTTCTTAGTGCTGCTTATATTTACAGTGACAGTGTACTTCTTTTATATCAACAGTGTGTTCTTACAAACAAACCAGAGCGTTCTAAAAGTCTCAAACTCTTCAGCCCTTGCTGAAGTTTGTGATTCAGTTATCAGAGGACAGATGATTTCTATTCAAGAGACTGTCTTGAACTCATCATTTGAAAATCCTTCTTGCCAAGACTACTTGCTCCAAAATCACTACATAACAGCTTCCCTGTCAAAAGAAGAAGCCCAGTTCCCTTTGGCCTATATAATGGTTATTCATAAGGATTTTGAAACCTTTGAGAGGCTCTTCAGGGCAGTTTATATGCCCCAAAATGTTTACTGTGTTCATGTGGATGAAAAGGCAACAATTCCTTTTAAAGATGCAGTGGAGTGGTTGGTGGGCTGCTTCCCCAATGTTTTCCTTGCCTCCAAGATGGAGTCAGTTGTCTATGCTGGAATATCCAGACTCCAGGCTGACCTGAACTGCATGAAAGACCTTGTAGCCTCTGAGGTTCAGTGGAAGTACATTATTAACACTTGTGGGCAAGATTTCCCTCTGAAAACCAATAAGGAAATAATTCAGCATTTGAAAGAATTTAAAGGGAAAAATATTACCCCAGGGGTGCTGCCTCCTTCTCATGTTGTTCGAAGGACCAAATATATCTATATGGAGCAGAGATATATTTTATTTTCCTTCATGCTGTGGACTTTGAGAAGGAAAACTCTCCCTCCCCATAATCTGACCATTTATTTTGGCTCGGCTTACATCGCCCTCACAAGGGAATTTGCCAACTTTGTTCTCCAAGACCAACGGGCCATTGATTTACTGGAGTGGTCTAAAGACACCTACAGTCCTGATGAGCATTTCTGGGTGACTCTCAATAGGATTCCAGGTTTGGTTGACTCTTTTTTTTAACCTATTATTAGGTTCAGTGGACATTGTAGAAAAAAATTACATAATTTTAACTATTGTACGAAGGTACACTGAATGCTCATAAAATGTGCCTATGAAATTTTAATTATTTTATACGCCACAAATTCCTGATGGCATGTGCAATCATTTTTAAAATAAGCAAGTTAAATGTTGCATACAGGGTCAGTACCACTGTTATATGCTAGTTATATGGGAGACGAAGAATTTGTTTGCAGCTTTGCAGATGATGGATTTAGAGTTGGAATAAGTCGGTTGAAATGGAGATAATTTATTGTTAGATCAAGAAATCAATCAATAAGCATTGATTAAGGATTGATTAAGTGCAGGGCACTGGGGATACAAATATAAATGAATGAAATAATCTCTACTCACAAGGAGCCTACTTTATAAAAGGAGCAGAAATGAGTAAGGAATAAGTAAACTAGAAGACACAAAAAGTTTTTTTCATCATTTTTTTCAAATGCAGTTTTACCTCCTTACCACTACCACTCCCATTGAAAGAACAAGAGAAAAACAAAACCCCTGTTATGAACATGTATAGTCAAACAAAATAAATTCCTGAATTGGCCATGTCCAAAAACATTATGTCTCAATCTACACTCTGAGTCCATCACTTATCAGGAGGTAGGTAAGCATGTTTCATTGTAAGTCTTCTGGGATCACAGTTGATCACCTAGTAAGGTTCTTTGAAAAAGAACGGGGAAGCAAAGCCACAAGGAGTAGGAGAAAGATTAAGAGGACATGTAGTTAGTAATGTAAATTTGGTTATAGAAGATCCAAATACAATTATCCCTTCTACATTGTGACTTTCCCCATCATGGTTTCAATATGTTACAGGTCAGCATAAGAAACTAAATAGGAATTTTTGGGGAGTTTTGTGGAGACCAAAGACAACACAGAAAAAAGTTTAGAAACTCAAAAATGCATAAAATACATGTATTTCTTTTAATATCATAATAATTCAAACTTCTCTGGTACAAAGAGAGGGCCAAAAATTTTATATGGATTTTTCAGATCCTGGGGGTGCAATGCCCCTAACCCCTCCTCTCCCCCAACTCCAACTTTTGTGATATGGAAGGGATAATTGTAGTGAGTTCATGAAATAAATGTGGTGGTATATACCTGAAAAACTCAAGAAGACTGGATGGTAGGTAAACGACTTAAGTAAAACTTGCAATGAGGGACACAGTCAGGACAGCCTCTGTGTGATATACTTTATTCTTTTGTCTTGGTTGCTGGTTTCATCAGGACAGCTTCTACAAAGAGCCAGACATTGTATGCCAGGTGGATTATATTATGGCTGCTGATTTCTTTGACTGAAAATAGATGTTACCTGTACCATAAGCTTAATTCAAGGAGTCTTTTCATTATTTAATGGGATATCTAACAGAATGCTTTGACAGAATTGTGATAAAACATCAGAAAAAAAAATTCTTTACCAGGTTCTAGCCCTTCCCATTTGTGTATTCTGTTTACATGGCCAACAATATAGAAGGTAAAACCTTCTGTAAGGAGGTTTGAAAAACACATGTAACATGCACAGCTATGTAGTGCATTGTAATTACAGAGCTACATATATATATGAGATATACATATATATAAATTTGACCTATTATTGTTGTTGAAATGGAAAATAGGTCACTTTGTTTTATTGTCTGAAAAAAGTTAGATGAGAGAATTTTAGAATTGTTACTAGAAGGAGTCTTGTGGGTCATCTAAGCCAATCATTTGCAGATGAAATCATTGAAACCAAGAGAGGCTGGGCACTTACCCACAGGTATTATGTGGAAGAATCAGGATCCTCTGAGAACCCAGGTCCTCTCGGCTACAAAGAGACACAATGCTCTTTCCATTGCCCCTGAGTTAGATCAGATATTTCCATGGACTTTTCTGGGAAAATTGTGAACTATCAGGGTTTTTATATTCTTTGGTTATTATGTAGTAGGCTCAAAGGCACATGAGAAAGCTGGGATTGACTGTAATGTAGATCAATAAGAAATATATTAATAAGGAACAATAATGTAGATTAATACGCAATCTTTTAATAAGGAGTAATAATGATACACTTAATAAGGAATCTAAGAGTGATATGATGGGGCAGCTAGGTGGTTCAATGGATAGAGTGCCAGGCCTGAAGTCAAGAAGACTCATATCCCTGAGTTCAAATCTGGCCTCAGACACTTCCTAGCTGTGTGACCCTGGGCAAGTTATTTAATCCTACTTGCTTCAATTTCCGCATCTGTAAAAATGAGCTGGAGAAGGAAATGGCAGACTACTCCAGTATCTCTGCCACAAAAACCAAAATGGGCTCACAAAGAGTCAGACACAACTGAACAAAAACAACAATTGCCCTCAGATGTATCTATTACCTTAACTCAAGCAATGAAAGGGAGCTGGAGACAGGCTTATCAGGCTCAGAATGAGTCAACAAGTTAGTCTCAGAGAAGGAGTCCTGGAGGAAGGAAAGAAGGAAGGAAGGAGTCATCAGAGTCCAGTAGCAAGACATAGGTCAGGATGATTGGTGATGGCCCAGCAGCAACTGAGTGAAAGACGGAGTGGAGTAAAGAGATACCTGAGGCAGAGAAACCAATCAGAGCACTATTAGAATGATCCAGGTGCGAGGTGATGAAGCACTGCACCTCATGATGGCAAGGGGGCAGTTGTGTCAGAGGACAGAAGGAGGGATTTTCAAGAAATGTTGCAAAAGTAAAAGAACTTGGTGACACTGGATATGTAGGAGGTGGGAATACTAACTGCTAGAAGGATCAGGAAAGGCTTCATGTCGATGGTGATATCTGAGCTGAATCTTGAAGGAAATTAGACATTCCAAGAGGTAGAAGTGAGGAGGGAGTGCATTCCAGGAATGAGGGACAGCCAGTGTAAAGGTCTGGAAGTGGGAAGTAGCCTATAATGTAGGAAGAATAGCAAGAAAACCAGTTGGAATGAACTGGAATGAATGGGAAGAATGCTAGCATGGGGCCAGGTTGGGAAGAGCTTTAAATGCCAAGGTACACAGATGTAAAAATCTTTCAAGAAGAGAATAGTGAATGAGGAAATTATTCCATAAAAGAAAAATGTCTCCAGTTGAGACAGATGTCAAGGCATTGAGAAAGAGTCCACAAATAAAGGCAGAAAACAGAAGGGGTCAGGTTTTAGTATCCTGCCTAGTTCTGCAAGACATTTCTTCTCACAGTTATATTTTTTGAGGAAAAACCCTTCTCCTGATTGTATTTTGTGAAGAAGAAAGTATTGGTTGCTGAAGTTTCATACTGTGAGCAGCCTCTAGGCAGACTGCAAGTCCTTAATCCAAGATCTTCGTGGCCGACTTGATGCGCTGGGAAGTTAGTCTAGGCGGCAGTCCCTCTAGAGTTCCACAGATAAAACTAAAGAGAATAGACTATGTCAAGGGGCTGGGCATGCAGACATAGGCCCAATCTCTGACATGGTCTTAGACACTGCCAGCTCTCCAGTACCCACAAGTAAGGCTGGACTGATGCCACATTCTTTGGAGGCCTGTCCAACAATGACTCTGGGAGCCAGTTCTGGGCCATTCAGATGACAAATTAGATCTATGGCTGCATTTAGATGCTCCTTTGAAATAAGAAAATAGTAATAGTGATGCTCAGACATCTCAGTACTCCAAATCCAAGAGACAGGAAGGTAGCCAAGAGGAGAATGATCCTGAAAGACTATCACTGAAGAAAATAGTTTGGAATAGGAAGAGGAGAAGCTAGAACTTATATACCACTTAAAGGTTTATAAAACATTTTGCATATACTAGTTGTCCCAAAAATCTTGGTGCAGCTTTAAACTTGAGTACCTTAGAATAAGACTTCTAGAGCACCCAGTATTATCTCATTTGATCCTTGCAACAACCCTATGAGGTAGGTGCTTTAACTATCCCCATTTTGTAGAAGAAACTGAGCCTTGGAGAGGTTAAATGACTTGTCCAGGGTCATACAACAAGTAAGTGTCTGAGGCAGGATTCAAACTCAGGTCTTCCCATCTCCAGTCCAGTGCTGTATTTTCCATGTCACCTAGCTGAAACTGAGAAACCACCAAGTACTTCCTAAAAATTTAATAGAGGAAGAGCCTGAAAACTGACTTGGTGGCATAATTTCTTAAAGAAAAAAAAAGAGCCTAAAGATTATTGTTCATGGGGTTGATCAGTCAATAAATGTTAAGGGCTTACTATGTGCCATAGACACTGTGCTAAGTGCTGAGGATACAAAAACAGTGGACAATCCTTGCTGTCAAGGAGCTTTCTGTCTAAATGGTTAGAGGGAGAGTCACAGAACAAGGCAATACTCCAGGAAGAATTTTTCGTAACTAAATCCATGTTCCAGCCCAGTCACTGCTGTCTGCTGACATCTGCATTTCTGACAGTAAATGAAATAATAAAAGAATCACATTCCAGTTATCCTTTCTGGACTAGAATCCTACTAACCTGACTTCCTTAAGCAAGGAAAATGCTATTCCCTCCCCACTCCTAAAAAACACTCTGTGCTCCCCCAACTGCCAATAGTAAGATCCAGGTACCACCTCATTCCCAGTGTTTGTTTACAGCAAATCAGGTGCTGGTAATGATCAGAATGTGGAAAAAACAAAACAACATCCAAAAAATAAAAAACCCAAGGTATGAGTGCTGCCTATATGTATCTGGAGAAAAGTAAATGATAGATGATGGTAATTTTTTTAAATGAGGAAAAAATTCAGCTTTAATGATATTCAGCAGACAGACTGATACTGGTTCCCTCATTCCATATGTAAGAAAGACAGACTATATATTAATACAGTGTGTATGTCACACTTATCACAGATGCTATACACAGTATCCTGAAGGAAGAGGAGGGATTCCATAGCAAGGCATCCTGACTGTTTGCTTTCTAAAAACTACAATGTATCAATTGTTACATCACAAAACATTAAGCCAAGAGTTTCAGAAAGAATGGAGCACAT